AACTACCTCGTAAAGGATAAAGGAACTTCAGCTATGGGGGGAATTTGGGCACAGGACACTGCCCAGATGAACTGTTAAACACAATTTGCCTACAGTGTTCCCCATGGTGCATTAAACTTCACATATAAATATACACCTTAAATAATACAAGCAGGTATCTACAGTAAAGTTCTGTAGCACCAATCCACAGAGAAGAGAAGGTTGCTTTTAATCCCCATTTGCCACATCTCACATCAATTTTAGGAACATGGTATCTTCTCCCCTTCTCACACCACCGCAAGAGAAGAGCCCCTGCTTAGGACTTGCTTCCCATTGCACTGGGAGATCTGCCTGAAGCATGTGCAGACATGCTGGCTGCACCTTTCCAAAATAAACACTGCCAGGGGTGCTGCCAGGCCCAACCACTGATGCTATCACGCTGGTAGAACAGTCACTGGCATGCTGGGACCCATGCTGTCCCAGGAAACCCCATCCCACATGGGTGCAGGAGTCCACAGAGGCCAGGAGCCACCCCATGCATACATCCCCTGTAGGTGGGAGTGGGAAGGATGTGGTCAAACATCCCAAGCAGCAGTTAGCCCCCAGGCAAAAGAGCAGACCTTGACACTGGCCCACAATAATAACACAGCAATTAGGGATACCTTTATCTAGATTGCTTGAGCAACATGGGTAATCTGGGCTCCAGCACAGCTAGGCACCTCATAGGCCCCAACAGACCTGCACTGCCATGGGGGATATCTGTGCTGCCACATTTTCAGTCTAGTTCTCACCTAATTCAATGTCTTATGCCTCGCCCACCAGTTAAACCACCATAATACATGTCCTGTGAGATGCAGGAACAACAGGTCCAGTGCTGGATGTCAGTGCAGAGTAGAATGGCCACCCGTGTCCCCAAAACAATGAATTCAATATAAACTTTAATCATCTTAAATAAAGAAAGGGAAGGAATGCTCAAAGCTAAGTTTCATGCAATGGCCCAATGCTGCAGGGATCTCCTGCAGGTCTAGGGCTGACCAAGGGCATTTGACATCTTGCAGGTTCAGGCAGCTGTGGCCCAAAACACAACTACTTCCGCAAGTGTGCAGCCACTCCGTGCTTTTCCCTGGTACTCAGATAACTTCCAAGGGCACTTGCTTCAACAACAGCACAGTCTCCTCTGTTACTAATACCAAAGAAACCACCACTTACTGCGTGAGCAGTCATACTATGACTAAGAAATCATGTTTCATATTTCAAAGGTAACTTAGAAATTACAATATGGAGCGCTTGACATCTTAAGAGATCTATACATCATGCTGACACATATAAACAAAAAATGAGACCATACTGCATAATGTCAAGCAGCTTTTTAGCTTGTTTTAAAAGAGGCAACCTTTACAATGTAAAGACACACTTTATTTAGGTCTGAATGGGTCATTTTTCTCTTCCTGTTTTTTTTTTTCTTGACAGCAGATGTTCTTTTTTTTTTTCTTCAGCAAAAAGAGTTTTATCTCAAGCAGCTCCTAAACACTTTTATGATCTCCATAGAAAAATATAATCAATTCTGAAGTTTTTGTAACTTTTGTTAGCTTTTAATAGAACTATGGAAATCTTTCAGCAGCTACTTTAGTTTTCATGAAGCAAGAGTTTACAGGGCTCTCAGTAACTCTCCTTACCAAGAGACTTGCACCAGCAGTGCAGGGAGAGGCAGGTACATTATTTTGTGATTAAGAACTAGCAGATTTTCTCTCCATTTATTTCAACCATCCTATTAGTGCAGCTAAGACATCTGCATAACATTTCCTTTCACTATGGTTCACATGAGCTAAATAACGCATAAGTAAAAAAATGGGCTTTCAGCAGCTTTTAATAGCAAGGAAAAATAAACTCCCACAGTATTATAGATGGACAATCTCTCCTGGCTTCATTACCTTATGTTATTTAAAGAAAATTAGTGGCTTTGCACAGACAAAACCAATGCAAAAGAATGACATGTTGGGTTCATTTTATCCAATATGTGCAGTAAGGCTTTAGCTAATGATCTTTTACTTAACTTACTAGGATTCTGTGTCACCGCAAACAGGGTAACCAAGGCATTCATTTCAACATGTCTCTGTCCCTGAACTTTAATGGAGACACCACGTTGTATCCATTCCTCTGCTCTGGTCGGGTTGAGAGCTGGGAATGGCTTTTTGTGCATACAGCATTTGGTGTATACAGCACTTGCATCCATCGCTCATCGCGGGACTACGCATAAATAATTTTGTGACAGAGGCAGCACAACCTGAACAGTATCGCTGAACCAAACCAAGCACTGTTTCTTGGAATGCCTTCTCTTGCCCCTTTCTGGCATGCAGATATATATATAAACAGACGCATTTATCAGACGCCTGTGTCTTTATTGTACAGATAGCACACTACCGATTTCTATTCAACAGATTGTTCTGTCATTGTTCTACCCATTTGTTGTTGTCTGCAAAGAAGCTGCACTTCAGAAAGTTTTATTCCAGGTGCCTATCATTGGATTGTCTGTGCTGTAAAAAAAATTACTTTTAAGTGAACATTTACATTTATGTATATTACTCTTTAATATTTATAATGGGAGATAAATTTGGGGAGTATTTTACTCTCCTGTACTTAGAAGAAATCTCTTTTCTGAAAATTAGTCTTTCTCCAAGTGGCACAGTTAGGAAAAGAAATATCCTGAAGTTAAAAAAAAAAAAAAAATCTAATAAAGTAATTCATTCAGACATTATTTCTGAGTCATGAATCTGTTGCTTCTGTAGACATCAGGACGTGTTCCCAAGAAAAGCTGCCCACTTCATCACAAATGCCCCCTTTAGTGGAAGATAGTTGTGAAATTTCTCCTCAATAGGTGGATGACTGTGGCGATGGAAAAGCCATGCTGCCCAAAGGGCTGCATGAGGAGGTTCATATTCCTCTCTCAGTCTTGTCATCTGATGGAACTTTAGAAGATGCCTCCTGCAGAAATACTTGTCCTGGCAGCCCATCCAGAGGACATTTAGCAGACCCCTCCAAATTTCCAATAACCATCTCAAAAATCTTCACTACTTTGACTGTGGAGGGCACAGGGATTACATTTCACTCCCATTACATTCAGAGCGGTGACTGTGACGTGCTCTACAGAGCTACAGCTCCTAGCCTGAGATCTCCTTCAGAGCTGAGTGCTTGGAGGATTTTGCACATTTCATACTGATGAAGACCAAACAAGTGTTGTTGGCGTGCACAGACGTGGCTCTGGAGACCACACGCGAGGTCCTCACCCTACTTCCTAGCCAAGGGATACAGAGAGAGTGCAAGCGGTGCAGCGAGGGCTGCGCACAAAGCCAGGGCATGCAGCATGTGCTGACCCCACCTGCATCCTCTCCCTGCGGGGCCTCGGCTGGCTGGGACTTACAAAGGGGAACGGCCAGAGGGGAGAATACGGGAAAGAAAGAGGGACTGAGAAAACGGTATAAAACAGACGAGCTGGCGCAGGGGAATAGCCAGATCCGGAGAAAGGCAGCCCATGCTGCCGCTGACAGTGGCGGTGTCCGGACGGGACTAGGCTCGGCGCCCCCCTCCTCCGTTTCCCCGCCCTGCCGGATCATCCCCCGCCCCGGAGTGCAGCCGTGGCCGCCCTCAGTGCATCAGGCAGCCGTGCCCGCGGGGGTCTGGGACTGGGCAGCAGCCACTGAAGGAACTGCCCGGCGGCTGCTCGCCTTTCCCGGGAGAGAGGGACGAGCCGGTGCGCACACGTGTGAATGCACAACCACACCATAAGGGCGGAAACAAACCCGAGCGAGGTGTCAACTCTGGGTGCAGCCATGCCCAGCCCGGGTCCCTCTGTCCCGCAGCTCCGGCGCTCGGGGCTGTGCCAGCGCGGGGGCTTCGGGAGCGCGTTGGTCTCCTGGGGGTTTCGCTGCTCCATCTCATATCCGAGCGCCTTACCCCACAAAAATAAAATACCGAAAAGCAAAGAATATACTAAAAGAGAAGCCGCGCGGGGCAGAGGGAGCGGTTTGCGGGACGCCGCACAAGCCCTGCGCTCCCCAGCCGCCCGCCCGTGCTGTGCCGCGCTAATTCCACAGCACCGGCGACATGAGGACCTCATACCTCCGGACAACTGCGTGAGTCATAAATACACGGCCGGGGGCTGAAAGCCGAGACTGTTTACAGCGACTTCGCTGAGGCCTCCGGCGAGTCAACCCGCCGCCCCCCGCGCAGGGGTCCCGCACCCCGCAGCGCGGCTCCCGCGGGGCACCCGCGGCCGCGGCACCTGCGGCCGGCGAGGGGCGAGGAGGGGGCGGCCTCCCCGCCGCCTCCGGCCGTCGGTCGGTCCATCAGTCCGTCCGTCCGCGGGAGCGCGGCGAGCGGCGCTGGGGAGGGACCCGGTGTTGGGTTACCCCGGCCCGGCCCCGCCGCCGCCGCGGGGCCAGGCGGGTGCCGCGGGGCTGCGCCGGCGGCCGCGCAGCCCACGGTATGTCGGGCCGGTGACTTCAGCCGGGAGATATTTGGAGGCTCCGCGGGGTCCGGTGCGGGGGGCCAGCGTGTGTTTGGGTCTGAAAGCGAATCAGCGGAGGGCGCGTCACTGCCAAAGGGCCCTATAAATCCATCTGCGGCGCCGAGTCGCCCTGGCAAAGCCCCCGCGTCCGCACGTCCGGCTCCGCGCTCCCCCCGCCCGCGGGTGCGGCGCCCCCCGCGCCTCGCCCAGCCCTGCGCCCCGCCCAGCCCCGCCGGCGTCCGGGCAGCCGGGCGCGCCCAGGCCCAGCCGGAGCGGGCGCTCCCGACACCGGCCCGGCTTTCCACCGCGCTCCCTCTTGGATCTAAGATTTCGCCGCGACGAGACCCCGCTCTGGAGGAGGAAGCCTCGCTGCTGCTGCTACCGGCTCTACAAATTCCAGCGCCGGCCTCTGATTCTCACAGCAGGCTGAGGGGGGGTGGTTTGAATTTTTTTTTTTTTTTAATATTTTTCCCCTTCCTTCCTCCGCTGGGGTGGGGTTTTTTTTCTCGAGGTTTTCTTTTTTTTCTTTTTTTTTTCCTTTTTTTTTTTCCCGCCGTTGTGTGCGTGTCCGAGCGGTGCGCGGCTCCCCGCAGTGCTGGACCAGCTGGCATTACAGGAGCGCTGATGTCTTCATCTGACTCCCCGCAGTTGTTGATGGAGTGTCTTTCTCAGATTTCCAGGCAGGGTCCCAAGCGCAACACCCAGCGCCAGCTCCCGCTGCCAGGCGGCGCTCCCCGCGGCTCGGGCCGCTCCCGCCGCTGCTGAGCGCGGCCCCGGGGCCGGAGCGGGCAGAGAGCCCCGCGGCGCCGCTCCTGCCGCGGGCACAGCACCTGCGGCGGCGGCGGGGGAGGCCGCCGGGGACTGTGCTGGCGGCTCCCCGCTGCCTCCATCCAGACCTGCGACCGCACTCCCCCTCCTCCACCCGTCTCTCCCCTTCCCCCCTCCTTTGTGCAAAGAGGGTGCCGGCGGTCGGACCCCCGACCTGCCCACATGCATCGCCCGTCCGGCCGCTCGACTCCACTGCGTTAATGTCCATCTCGGGTCCGACGAGACCAGCTCAGAGGTGAGGGCGAGGGGGAGTGCGCGGAGGGGCGGGTGGGTCGGGCGGGCGCTGTCTCCGGGGACACAGGGCTGCCCCGTAGCACCCCCCGAACACGGCGAGGTGCGAAGGCAGCGGCCGGCGGGGGAAGCGCGCACCGAGCAGCAGCCGCGCCCCGCAGCGGGACCGGGACCGCTGCGGGTCCCCCAGGCGGGGCTGCGCCTCCCAGGCCGGACACTGCCCTGTGCTGCTCCCCGGGCCAGGCCGAACCGGGCTGGGAGCAGCTGTCACCCCCGGGCAGCGGGTACGTGCCGTGGCAGACTGCAGGCAGGGCGGCCGGGGAGAGAGGAGAAGAAAGAGGGACAAGTGAAGGGAGAGAAGGAAAGGGAAAGGAGAAGGGAAGAGAAAGAGGACTGGAGAAGAAAGAGAGGAAAAAAAGAGAGAGAAAAAGAAAAAAAAAAAAAGAAGAAAGGAGAGAAAGAGAGGAAGAAAGAATGAAAGAGGAAGGGGAAAAGGGAGTTAAAAAGAAATCTTGAAGAAAAGGGAAAGGGAAACAGGAAGGAAGAAGAGGAGGAAGAAAAGAGGAAGATGATAGGGAAAGGGGAACGAATGGGAAAAAGGAAAAGGATAAGAAAAAAAGGGGACAAGTGAAGAAGAAAGAACAGGAGAGTGAAAAAAATGAAGAGGATAGAGGACTGAAAGGGGAATGAAAAGGGGAAAGAGAAGGGCGGGGAAAGAAGACAGAGGAAGGGAAAGAGAAAAAGGAAAACAAAAACAGATGAGGAGAGGGGAAGGAGAAGTGAGGGAAAGAAGGGTTTGCCTCTAGCACATCAGATCTGCACAGCCCAGCACCCCAGATCAGCACGGTCCTTCCTGGTCCAGCCCAGGAATAAGTGCCCTGACACCACTCGAGTGCTGGAAAAGCACAAGGTGACCTGCCTGCCAGCCAGCGCAGGGCCATGGTCACACTCCTACGTCCCCAGAAACAGACTCCTGGGGCTTGCCTGCCCACATGCCCCAGTACAGCTCTCTTGGGCATTGAGGGACTGGAAGCTATCCTGTTCCTCCCTCTACCACAACACTTTCTCGCTGGGGAGAGCCCATCACTTGCTCTGGAATGCTGAGCTGGTGACAGGTTGTTTCCCCTGCTCTGTCCCCAGGCCTGACCCAGGTGGACCAGTCTGATCCGGGGGTGCAAGATTGCTCAACTTTGTCTCAGGACTGCAGGATGGGGGCAGAACTGGGGGAGCACAGCAGTTGCAAGCTAACCCTGCTTCTCCTTTCTGCCAGGGGCCCGTGTTGGAAGGAGATCTAAGATGAAGTTATGGGATGTTGTGGCTGTCTGCGTGGTGCTGCTCAACACGGTCTCCACCTTGCCCCTGCCCACCGGTAAGACGCCTCCCAAGGGGTCCCCTTCAGTGGTAGAGGGACCTGAAGATGATCTCTCCCCCATCAGCCTGCTGCCTTCCTATGCTGTGCACAGTGACTGTAAGAAACATTCCCCTTTGTAGCAACTGCTGTCTGTCTTGCTAAACCTGCTTCCCTTTGTTCAGACATCAGGGTGAGGAAAGGTTCCCCACACTTTCTGCCCCTGTTTCTCTCCCGTGCAGGGTCACTGGCTTTGGTCTTGCTCCAGCAGCTCCAAACCAAGTCATTCTCCAAAGCTTGGAGATGGCAATTGCAGTGTCAATGCCCCCCCGCCCACTCCAGCTCTACCTTCCTGGTAGTCTTAAGATCCCTTTGGCTGAAAAACATGGCTTATTGTATGCAGAGGAGCCGGGAGAAGGATCATACACCTCGCAGCTCAGGCAGGGAGGGGGAAACAGGAAACTGCCTCGGCCTCCTCTCCCTGGTCAGACCTGCCAGTGCTATTATACACTACCTGTAGTGGGCGCAAGTCCTGCTGGAGGTTGGGCTCCGTGGTGCGAGGCACTGTACATGTCCTGGAGTGCTGTTGAGCTTCATTACATCCTCCTTGGATTCTGATCTCAAAATTAGTGTGTCTGCATGGGAATTTACAGAATTGTGGCTGTGGTGGGGTTAGGAGCTCGATGCAGAGCAATCCACATGAACTGTCTCACAGTAAGACAGTTTACAATCCAAATGACAGATAATAATGCCTCGCTAATAATAGGTCTCTCACAATAGCAGGTATAGGATTTTCACAGTGGTATGTGAGCATTATGCTAACTCTGGTGGTTTTTTAAAGAGAGAGTTAATGACTCACTAAGAAGTAGCAAAATACTGACATGAATACTGGAGACATTCACTTTGCAAAAGCGCGGACGCAGCTTCGAGGTTGCTTCTTTTGCCCTTGCTCAGCCCTCTCTGTTTAGCCCGTTACAAGATGCAGACAGTATCCAGTAATTGGGATACATTTCTATCTCCTTATCGGGAGGCATCTTCTTTCCCTGCGCCTGCCACAGCTCCAACGATGGGCAGCCCAGCTCTTTTTTTTTCTGGGAGCAGCCAGGCTAACACAGCATGGAGGCACCAAGCGTGGAATCGTGTGTCGTGACTTCACTTCGACCCCTCGCAAACACCCATCTTCTCTTCCACAGACACACATCTATGTCCTTCCCCATTTAGTCTTCTCTCTTTCCTTTTCTTGCTAGTGTTTCCCCCTTGCTGGAATCTTGCCTAGGCTGCCGCCTCTACATATCCCAGCCTGGGCTCCTGCTGCTCACAGACTGGCAGCCCCTGACATCCTTTCAGACCCTCCACAGGGGGAGATTGGCCAAAAGTGTTTCCTCCCAGGGCTCCAGCTTGCCAGGATCATTGGTGCTATCACATATGGTGATCTTCTTCTCCATGGTGAGCATTGTGCTGGATAAGTGCTGTCCTACAAAAGACAGTGATCAGCTTTTCTTGCCACTGCGTTCCCCTCTGCACAGGCGTGCAGCAGGGCTGGTGGCAAGAAGAGTATTAGGGGGAAATCATCATCAGTTAGTTTGTAGCTCTGGCAGAAGCTTCAGGGTGGGAGGGCCTTAATGCTCCATTTTTCCAGAGTGGTAGTATTTGTACAATGCTTTCTTTTATCTTGAAACTAATTTCTGCGTATCTGGTTCCTGGTGAGCTGGTTTCTCTGCAGCAGCTCAAGGGGACAGGCAGGAGCAGAGATCCTGCCTGTTCCTAGCATTCACAACTTCTAATTGTTGCCAGTTTTGCTTTTTCCTGTGGATTCAGTAAACAAGATACAGGAGGAAAGACAATCTGTGAGCTATGGTAGTATCAATGTACAGCCTCTTCCAGGTATCTCTGTTTTCAGGGTACAGACATAGGCTTTGCCAAGCAGAGCTGCATCACATGTTATTGACCAGGATAGTAATTTGAAAAAGGGGTTATAGTTTGGTTCCAATTTCTTAACCCTGCAGATCACAAATAGATGGGCCTGGCTACAAGGGAAAAGGAAGGAGTGCTGCTCTTTACACAGCACTCAGAAATTGAGGAAAACCCAGGGAATTCCTGTGGTTTTTGCATGGCAACAGTTTGTACAGCACCCATGCCCAAAAGTCAGAAATTCTTCTCTCCACTGTGTTGCCAAGTTGGATGAGTCAGGGGAGACCTGCAGGAAAAGGTAGCTGTAAGAGAGCAGTGAAATACTTTGATCCACTTTTATGCTGTTTTCAGTTGATTTAAAAGTGCGTGGTGTCTGGAGAGCGGTCTTCAAACAGCCTGCGAGGGTGATCCTACCTAGACACATTGCTGCCTTCCTGCTACAGCAGCACTTTGTTCAAGTCACCCTCATCACTGTCTTTGATGTATTTGTTTCTCTCCGCTTACGATTTGGTGGCATGAGCCCTTCAGCATATAAAAGGCATAGAATGATGTACACAAGAGGAGTCAATGTCTACACCATGCAGACTTCTCTCTCCACATTGAGGTTTCTCTTACAAGCACCTGGCAATGAACCACAAGCACGGAGAGTTGCTTGCAGCTCCCCGACTGTCTGCTGGTGAACCTGCCACGTACTGGTGTCTCTGCAGATACTGCTGGTCGTCTGCTTTGCTGAAGGCTTTTGCAGGAGGCAGCTCACAAAATGGTGGGAGCACCATCATCACCCATGTTGTCTCAATATGCACAGGGCAGTGTATGGGCAATGAGCAGGAGTGGATGCTTCCTGCATTCAAAGAGAGGTGCACTGTTGTTCCCTAAAACTGTCCCATGTGCAGGCTAAGGGGAACGTTTTATCCCAAGGTGTGCACTTGTCTTATTCCAAAGAGGTTGGGTCCCACACACACCACTTGGATCAGGGGTTAGTAGGATTGTGAGATCAAGTCCCTCTCCAAAGGGCAGGCCAAACAACTTTCTGGAGCACAGATCTGTTTCCCAGGGCCTTGACACCTTTTTGTGGTCTCATTTGATGGGATTGCTTTCTCTGCAAAGTGCTTCGAGGTTACCTCATCCCTTTCAGAATGGCTTGAAACCTTCCTTCGTTTCAGGCTCCAGGCAGGGTCCTAACCTCCTGGGCTGACCAGGTGTAATGTGCCGACCTTTGCTGTCTAAGGCAGTAATTAGAGATGGCAGAGGACTGCAGTTGCAGTCTTCTGCATTTTTAAGTGGGCTGGAGGCTGGAGTGGTAGTAGCCTCCATAAATGCAGTGCATTGGAGATGAATCCAGTGTTCTTAGGTGTTTTGGCTCCAATGTTCATAGGATAGCCTATTTCACAGAAAACCCAGAAAGAGTAGCTGTAGACTTTGTAATCATTTCTTTGTTTCCCTTATGCTACAATGTGCTTGAGGAAGGACACAATTAGCTTAAATACCAACTGCAAACAGAACAAATATAAAGCAAATTATTGTAAAATAAATACTAAGCAGCTTCAGAAGCATGACAGCGCAGAGGGAGCCAAACGCTCATCAGACTCATACACAGTTCCCATTTTGTAGCTGGTTGATGCTGTATGAACATAATCAACATGTATGTGAGGACTGGAGTATCCAGAGGTCCAGGATATGATACATAGTCTCTTGATCAAGGGAGCATCTTTACTGAGAGCTAGTGGTAAATATATAGAATCAAATGGCAAATCTCACCTCGGGCTTTTCCCTCCTAATAGGGAAAAGTCTCCTAATAGGAGGGAAAGGTGGGGTTTTTGCATCATAACATCTGAGTTACTCTAAGGCAACTGAATGGTCATTTGCTGTGGCAGCTCCTTTGGTATATACAAGCCACGGTATAGGTATGTTATACCTCTGTTAAAAATTCTTCATGCCTCTGCTAAGGGGTATTTAATGTTAAGTTACTGCATTTAGCTGCAACTTTAACAACTAATATGGAAAGTATCTAGAATAAACAGTAATACTGTAGGTCTCTTTAAGGCAAAAACAGAATTAAATTATGCTTCCAACTGAATGGACTTTCCTTCCCTACAATATTTATTAGGCCCATTCAATGTTATGAACTACAACTCTCATGTTCCTCTCCAGGCTTTCCTGCTCAACACACCTATGGTGTGACACATGTGCTGTAGCCTCAGACACCCAGGAGCTACAGAGGTAACCTGTCTATGCACGGTAAATCCAATGTATCGGGGTGGTATCAGCCACACTGAGCAGGTGCCACACATGTCATTTGATCTCTGCGTGTCCAGCACAGCCAGTGCATCCAGCGCAGCTGGTGCATCCAGCCAGTGTCAGGCCCGTGTCCCCAAGCCAGCATATATATAGTGAAGTTTGTTTGCATGGGGATGCCAAAGTTATCTTGGCATTTAGAAATCTCAAGCACTCAAGTTTGTCTGTTCATTGGCAAAATTCTAGAAAAAGAAAGAACAGGGTGGATCTGGTTAAATTCAGAGGCATGTAGCCCCAGAAACAAATACTGAATCGGGTACAAATATTGAATACACCAAGGTGAAGTGTATTCTGCAACTTAAGGAGGAAAGTACTGAAATGCAAGATAATATGATTTTATTCTCAGTTTGAGTTATCCTTTGTTGAAAGTTTTGTTTCTTTGATGCTTTTTAATTTAGGGACCTCAAAAATTTACCAGTGAAACTGTGGATCCATTTAGACATTATGCAGGTGTTTATTGACAGATAACATACCTGAACATGCTTTTCTTGGCCATTTTTCATAAGCCTCTTTAGTATACTTTGGAAATCCCCGTGTTGAGAGTCTGCAGATGAAGAGCTTCAAAAGCTTCCTTGAAAAGCTGAGGAACTCAGCTGTGTGAAGTATTCATCAGACTATTACTGAATTTGATGGGGGCAGCATTATTTGTCCACTAGCAGGAGATCCTCAGATTGATAGGTTGTAATGTCTCTGTAAATTCTACTGTTCCTGCATAAAGAAGTTTTAAAATATTTAAAGTTTCAGAGGCTTCAAGAAGCCATTTGGGCCATTGAGTCCCACCCCCTGCAACCTCAGATCTTCAGAGGTGGATATCTAGTGCAAATAGCCAGTCTTCATTCTCCACACACAGTATCAAGAAACTGCAGCACAAAACTTGTAGTATATAAGGCCAAACCCTACATAACTACATTTGT